TTTTTTTCCATCTATACTGCTAATAAAGAATGAAACTTTTGTTCTCTAGCATGAAAATTTTTTGATTTACTATTTGACTCTGATAAAAAATTTTAAATATCACGCTATCCTTCAATATTTGAATATTTAAATTATCATCATATACTTATATGTTTAAATTTTCAAATTATCTCTAACATTCTTTTAATTCTTTATTTACTATGTATAAATAACAGTATGTATGGAACTTTTTAATTGATTATGTTACTTTTAAAAACATATATGCATCACTGTAATTTTTAATAAAATGTTCAATTTTACTGTTATAAAAAATTTATAAACACCACACTATTCTTCAATATTTGAATATCTAAATTATCATCGTATACTTATATGTGTTAATCTCAAAATTACCCCTAACATCTCTTATAATTATTTATTTACTATGTATAAATATCAGTATATTTATGAAACATTTTAATTGACTATGCTATCTTTAAAACATATATGCATCACGTAATAATTTTAATAAAATATTCAATATTTGAATTTTTTTTATCAATTTAATATTACTCATTTTAAATATAAAGATAATATTATCCTTACATATGTATATTTATTTCATCCAAAATTTCAACCATTTAATTTTTAGATAAAAAAATTCTTTTACATAGTTTTTTAAAATATTTTTATTAAATCAATATAATTCTTCAATCACAGTAAATTTTTCATATTTTATTAAGAGTTTATATAAAAAAAAATTATATTGTATTTTTAAGTAAAACTTAAATTTTAGAATTTTAATATTCTTTAAAATATATATTTATAGAGTAGTATATTATATTTTAACGTGAATAGTAATTTTGTAATTTGGTTCTTAAAATATTTAGTTAATGTTTAAATGATTTATATACAACCAATCTATTAAGTTTTTTTTATAGAAGTGATCATCATGTGATACTATTTGACGGAATAACATGTAGTTATTTTCGTCAAAAAACTTAATGTACCATCTGGTTAGAAACCATTTAAACAAGAATTAAATATTTTAGGAATCAAATTGACAAAAATTTATATAATGAAGACTAAACTGACAAAAAGCGCAAACTTTAAAGAACCAAAGTATTATTAATCTTATATTTTATCTCTATTAACCTAACTAATTATAGTAAGCATTGATTAAAATATTAAAAATTATTTTTATTATATTTAATGGGTTATAAGTTGAAACATAATCAAATGAATTTCAAAAAAATATTTTTATTTTTTTTATACGTAAAACAATGAATCATTGGGAACAAATAATATTTTTAAATTCTATAATATAATACGAGCAATAAAAATATAATTTTGATAAACTTGAAATGATATTTAATGTTGGTATAAATATATTTAATACTTTTTATTAATATTTTATATAAAAAATTATTCACGTGTATGGTGCATTAGTAGGCTCAAAAAATGAAACCTGTATTTTAAGGCAATTTAATTTATCCACCAATTAAATCAATTAAAATAATAATTATCATCAAATGATGGAGCATCAATTCAAAATTGCTTTTCTTAAAGGTTGGAGCGTCAAATTTAAAACATGCAAGTCTCAACTTTCAAACTTGAGTAAACAATAGTGGCAGTTTGGATATTTTGTCACTAAATCAGTGGCATTTTGGAAGTGGAAATCGCGAATTTATCCCTCTGCACGGTGTCACGTGTAAATTTCCCGACCCTGCCGGCCCAGGTCGGGTAACAAATAGCATCGTCTCTTATGACTGCGCTTTTCGCCGGTTACAATCCTGTCTCTGTCTAAGCTCTCTCTCTTTCTACTTTCTCTCTCCACAGTACACTCGTATATATCTACACATACATTAAAACTCATAAATCTGTTTTTATATATAGAGAAGAGAAGCCTCGAAGCATTTCGCTTTGTCTTTTCTGGTAATCCCTCTCTCTCTCTCTCTGTTGTTATCCGTTTGACTTTTGAATACCAGTGTTGACTAATGTTGAACTGCGTATCTGTTAATAGAATGGTTGGAATCGATTTGAAGTTTTTATAGTTTGAATTCAGATGTTACGATCTGTCAATGCGGTGCAGAGCAAGATCTTGTACTTCAATCGGTTTCACGTTTCATGTCTTTGGCTTTTCTGCATATGTCATGTGCTGTCTATTAGTTGATGTTATTGTCACCTAACTATGGATCTTTAATTCAATATTTCCACTCAATTTCGTTGAATTTGTTTTGTTTCTATTAGCGATTAGCTGTAGCATTATGGTGTGATCTATAAGATACATTGGGTGCTCAATCATTGCTCATTTTCACTGTTGAAGTTGTTATGCGATTGGTGCTCAATCATTTCTCAGTTGCACTTCGATATTGTTGTTGTTGTTCATACAGTGCAACAAATTGCTATTGTTATCTGTTAGTGCATCTTCCTGGGAAGCAGGGTAGGGTTAGGGTTTGAATTTGGGGCGGAATGTGAAGGATTCAATAACTGGTGGTTGTGTTTTTAGTCTATTTGACCACTACAGGGAAATGAAAATGAACTCTTATTGGTCGGAACATAGAAATTAATTATCAGTTTGGTGAACCATTTAACATTTTTGGATTGAAGTTGTTCAATTTATCTTTTGGCCTTAGAGGAAACGGTTTTGTTCAAATAGAAGTGTGAGTGATGTCAGGATTATAGTCCTAAAGCTTCTGCGCCAGGACAAGTTCACCAACATTATACAGTTGAGTAAACAGAACTAATTGGAGAATTTCGTTGAGTATCAACAATGTTAACATATCTTGTCAACTGGGTCAATGGACATAATCATGCAAGATTGCTGGTGTTGAGATCTTCATGATATTCTCAATGTTTTTGCTGTTTTATAGCTATTTTCCCTGTTCTAATACATGTTTCTATTTGGAATGCAACTTCAATAAACAAGTAATAGGAATGTGGGGATGAGTTAAAATTGATAGCTAGAATAGAAGTGTTTTTCTGGATAGGAAACGAAACACTTCTACTATATTGAAAATAGTAAATCAAAAGATAAAGTGGGATGGAGAAGGTGCCCATATCTAGATAGAAATTGCATTAATGCTAAAGTGTACATTTTGGATTGTATGTATGAATGGAGAGTATGACACCATTTGTACTTAGAGTAGAGGATGTTAGCAATGGAATTCGGTTTAGATTATTTTCAGTTTTGGGAAGCCAATCAACATTCAGACTTAGGTACAAACTTTGATTTTTGTGGTCCTTGGAATGTCAGAAGTTAAGAACTACGTTCACATAATGTGGCTGTCAATGAGTATTTTAAGACAGGTAGATGGCGACACATGAAAATTTAAGTGTAAGGAATTGATGATGAGATTAGAGTTTTCTAAGAGGGCTTGATGATTTTAAATCAAGATCAATTAATGCTCAAAGGAGTTAAATCATTTGATTGGGGAGTTACAAGTGTGAGTGAGAAGTCTTGGAGAATGAAGGATAAGATGGTGGGAAAGAGTAACAGGATTTGGCGGTTTGTGATTCAGCTACTGATATGACTTCAAATAGAGCTGAATATTGAAGAATGTTCAAGACCACCCCTGAATATTTTGGATTTAAGGCTTTTGTTGCATTGGGAGCTGAGTTTGAGGGAAATTTGCAAACATAAACAGTTGATCTTTCCTTTGTGTTCTGGAAATCCAGCAGCCCATCTAAAGATGGAAAGCCTTCTTTGGCTACATGTCTAGCTGCTTTTTGGTATCAGTAAGTGCATACATAATTTTTGCTTTTATGTTAGTATCATCTCCTCTTGATTGTGATTCATGCGAATGTGGAGTGTATCTTTTTCCATGAAGAGCTGCATTTTGGGAAGGTGGAGTTTGATGCTTTGCTTTCTAAGTTATGGCATATTTGTAATGGTATAGCTTGTGTTTGAATATTTAAATTTGACCTGCATCCATCTCCTTGCTTATTTAATCTTCTGTATATGTTTGTCAATATTAATAGATTTTTGAGATTGTATAGGTTGAATCATTCTCCTCTATGTTTAAGGCTTATAAACTCTATAGTAATGTCGGGTGAAGCTCTCAGAGATCTCAATATCCCACTTGGATCTGAGAAGAAGAATGAAAGCTCCATTAATGGGAGCTATGATAAGTCTCATGCGAAGCACACTAATGAAACTCTTGAAGAAAGGCAAAGAAACGAATCTTCCCGTCTGGTTGAAACTCCTGTCAATGGATGTCAAAAACCGAACTCTGGGGTTGAAGTGGGAAACTCTGAAGTGGAATACATTGAATCTGGGAATTTGAAGGATGTAGAAGATGTGGAACAGGCTCTCAAGGTAGACTACGTTTTTTCAATATCAACTCACGATATTCAGCTGTGCCGACTATGTTTGCTTAATTTTCAGATAATTGAACAAAATGTGTAATATCATGTGTTTTTTTTCTTTTTCAGGCACTCTTAGATGGACTAGACTCTAAGGACTGGGTTTTGGTATGTGAGGCACTCAATAATGTTCGACGATTGTCACTGTTTCACAAGGAAGCTATGGTCGGCATGTTGTAAGTCCTAATTTCAAAAAACAGTACTTGATCAATTTGTTCCCTGTCACATTCATTGTAACCATATTTTGATGTACAGGGAAAGTGTGATCCCTCTCATTGTGAAGTCCCTGAAGAATCCCAGAAGCGCTGTTTGTAAAACTGCAATTATGACCTCTGCAGACATTTTCAATGCATATAGTGATGACATAATCGATTCACTGGACCTGATGGTAACTTATTTTTCCTTTTCCAACTGTTGCTTTTGGATTCATTATTGCAATGGATGGCATTTTCATGCTTTAAAATAATTCTCATATTTTTTTCTTCCTTTCAATGTGATTAAATGCCCTTGGTTTAGCTCCTACAACTTCTACTCAAGTCTTCACAAGACAAAAGATTTGTGTGTGAGGCAGCTGAGAGAGCTTTAATAGCTATGACTACTTGGGCTTCCCCCATTTTGTTGTTACCGAAGTTGCAACCTTATCTTAAGAACAGAAATCCTCGAATTCGAGCAAAGGCTTCAATGTGCTTCTGTAGGAGTGTACCACGACTGGTAAGAAACTTGCAGTAACTGCTATCATTTTCATTTTGATGATTGATAGTCCCCTATCTGGGTGCATGTGTTTTTTTTTCCCATCTTTTTCTTTATTGAAGAACACATAGAATGTAAGTCGGTCTATGGCATACTTTATCCTTCTTGTGGCTGATTTTCACAGTAAAATCTCCTCTTCACGCCCTACTTAGCTCCCGAAAGAGTGAGAGGAAAGACTAGTAAATGCATACGAAATGGCAGCCTCTTGAAGATATCCTCTCTTCCGTTCTTAGAACTTTTAAACAAGATACTAATACTCACCTAATTCGTGAGTAATGTGAACAATTCTTTTGAACTAAAACTAACCTAGTCTTTTACAAATCTTTTGAACTTTTGTATGAGTAATGTCAACCCTATTCTTGCTCAATTATGATCCCAACATGGCTTAATTGCTACAAGTTTGTCTTATTGTTTAGCCATCAACACTTGTGCAGTCATGTGGGAACTGTATGTTGCCTACTTTTCCAAAAATGGAGATTACATATCAGATGGCCCAATGATTGTCTTCTAATTTTGGGGTATAAAGATATTTGACACATCTTGCGTGATAATAGTTCTTATTGTGATACTGAGTTCACGATTCTGATTGAATTGGATCACTGTAACATTTGCATTGGTCATCAGTTCCTTCACAAATTGTCCTATACTGAATCCTTAGAGACTCTTCTGCTCTTTTCTACATTTTAGAGTGCATTTCTTCTCAAATCAACTATTAAGGAATCAGACTCTCGTGGAATTGTAATCTTTAACCTTTTCTATTTGTACGCTAGAGTAGGATGCCTTGTCCTTTCTTTGGGTTTTCCCCCCCTGCCCTTTTGTGGTAAATTTGCATTCCAGAAATCCCTAGTCCCAACTTAGCATTAATACTGCTGAAAGTAAGAGAGCAAGATTCTTAATGTATGTGTTCTTTTTCCAATCCTATTACTTATGCAATTCCCATTTAGACTATCAAACTAGCAACTGTTGGGTATTCACCTTTAGTTGTGGGCGCCTTTAATGGGAAGACCTTCAGGAAGAAGATCACTGAAAAAAGAACTACTGCAGTACCCATACTTTAACTAAAGTAAAATAAATCTTGCAATAGGTATGATAGATGAGCGATATCTTTCCTAGTTTTAACTACAGCGTTTATGCATAATGCAATTTGCACCGTCTATACAAACGGAATCTATGGGCTCTGTATGTTATTGTCGGTTGATGCCAATTATCAGTTTGGTTGAGTAATTCTTTGTCGTGTTGCTTGCTCTACAGGGAGTGGACGGAATCAAAGCATATGGGATTGACATGTTGATCCAAATAGCGGCAACCCAGCTTAGTGACCGGCTTCCTGAGTCCAGGGAGGCTGCTCGTATTCTCCTGTTGGAGCTGCAGGCTGTATATGAGAAATCAAATGTCTTCACACCAACTTCAGTACCTGAGGACCCAGAGAGGAGTACTTGGGAGCACTTTTGCCAATCAAAGCTCTCACCTTTAAATGCTCAGGCTGTCCTTCGTGTGACAAGCATTGCTCGGGAGAGTCTTGTTTTGGGTTCCTAGCATAAATATACGCAAACATATATGGAGTTTTAGTGAGTAATATTTTCTTTTTCCTGTTCCTCTATTTTGGTTTGGTTTCTATCTTCTACTTGTAAATACAGTAAACCATTGAGATGTTTGGAAAGCAGTTGAAGCATGTAATTGTGCTAGAATCCTATAACAATTTCTATATGGTCTACAGATTATAGCTACTTGTAAATCACTTTGTGATGGATGCATGATGGTAATATACGCCTGTAAACATAATCCAATCAGAAGTCTGATCCAGAGCTTGATTTCCCAGTTGAGATAATTTTTTCGCATGTACTTGCCGTCCTCTTCGAACCTTGAAATACTTAATGTGGTTCATCTGTTGCATCCATTGGGAAGATATATTACAGGTGAAAAAAAGTACCCTTTTCCCATTTATGCATTATGTAACGGAGAAAATTAATTCCAGAGATGCTCTTAGACAGGTTATGCTGCTATTAATTTGTGGAACAAGGAAAAGGAACATCGTTTGCTGCTTCAACTGAAACATGTTTTGTGGTTGATTTGAAATACCGTTGATATTTGAAGGAAAACAGGAACTCTTTTTGCCTTCTTGGTTCTCATTGTTCAGGTAGTATGTTGGGAGCATGCTCTGTTACCTTTTGCTGCTTCAAAAATGCCATTTTCATATCCTTTTGTATTGCAATTCTTGTTAAAACTTTATGTTTATCGTTGCATGGTTTGACGCAAGGATAAGGTTATGTTATTGTAACTTGATAGTCGACCAATGACATTATCACTTGCGATTATACATTCTCAAATGATTTTTATTTCCACTAGTGAAAAAAAAAAGGATATTTATTTTTGAGAAATGAGCTTACAGTGATGATAAAATGAGGGGTTTTTTTTATTGATTTTTAACTTTGCACCCTCAAAGATTAAATTTTTCATATTACGCACTTGATATATTAAAAATTTGTAATGTAATCTTTTCATTACTTATTTCTCAAAAATCACGCCATTGATGTTGATAGAATTAGTAATGAAAATTAACGGAAGAACGAGACTGCAACACTTTTAATATATTGATGGCACAATATAAGAAATTTAATTTTTGAGAGTATAAAATAAAAATTCTTAAATTTTTTGGTTGTAAAGTACAATTCGCTCTTTATAATATACTTTAAGTCATTGGAAAATGAAAGCCCCTGCGTTATTAATTAAGCACAAGATGATGAATTCGCAGTGTTGGCCTGCCATTCTACAAAAATAACTAGGGACTGAAAAATAAACAATTAAAATAAATAAAAGAAAATAAATAATAAATTAATTTTTTTACAATATACCTTCTAATTAAGTAATTATTAGTTTTAAAAAGAGATATGGTATTAAAAAATAATTTGTTTTTCAGGTCATAGTTTGACCCTATGGATTGAGATTTGATCCAATAATTGATTTCCATTTTTTCCCCCCCTTCGTTCGGAGGCCGTTCAGTCCTTGCTTGACAGAATATTTTGCTGCTCCAAAAACCTGCCAAACTGGAAGCAGATAAAAGCAAAAAGATAAAAGAGAAAAGTTCGATCTCTCAATCTTCATATTTCTTGTCTGTACCTGTGAATTTGATTCTTTTTTCCCACCCTCTCCATAAGAGTGGCTAACGCAATCCCCGCTAAACAGTAAATGTTTCTTTCTTCTACAGCAATAAGTCCTATTAGTTAGCTGCTTATGCTATCAGGAAATTATAGCCCCTTTATAAGACAGAACCATCCTACCTTTTGCAACCTTAATTCATCACCACCTCTGCAAAAATGAACCCTCCAAATTTCTCTTGCCAAATAAAGTTTATGTAAGTTGATTTTAAATTATTATTATTATTTTTTTGACGAATCGAAGTGATAAAGGATTAAATCTTGTTGGAGTATAGATAGTCTAGGTTTATTAGGATTTCTCTTTCCTAGGTTTATTAGGATTTCTTTTCCCTTTTTTACCCTTACTATGATTTTTATATTTTGCCTATATATACGAGGTTTTACTCTTAATTTGAGTATCTCCTTTTACTCACAATTATTTTAAGTTGGTATCAGAGCAAGGTTAGGGTTTGGGGTAGGGTTAGTGTATGGCTCTACCAGCCATACCGCCGAAACCACCCTGGCCATCAGCTGCCCAGCGAAACCGACCAACACAAGCGACAAAACCAGTCCACCTACTGCCCATACCAGGCCACACCGACAGCCCCAAAATCCATACACCGACGGCCCAGGCAACAAACAGTCTTCCACCGACTGCCCATCCTCATACCAGTCCATACACTGACTGCCTATCCTTATACCAGTCCATACCAGCCCCTAGCCGCATCCCAGACAAACCAGTCCACCACAACCTTAATCCACGACAAAGGCAGCAACCTCAATCCATACCAGTTCAACCAGTCCATAACCATATGCCAAACCAGCCCATAACCATATGCTAAACCAGCCCACTGTCCAACCGACTGGCCATATATATCCTGTCCCGCGCCCTTTACCCATTCTCCATATAATAATAATAATAGATCCAACCCAATAAACCCAATAAAACCACTCCTACTGCTAGATCATTGTCCAGCCCACTGCTGGGTCACAACTTTCGTTGTGATTTTATTCTAGGACTTTTTTGGGAGGGAGCGGATCCTCTTTTCTGTTGATCTGCCCTTGATGCAGTAGATCACTTATTTATATATTTTGGATTTCTGGGCACCGTGACTTGATTATTTGGGAGCTTTTTGGACCTTCCCTATTTGTCGCTACTGTTCGACTGAAGGTATATTGTTCTCCCTTATTTTATTCCTCTATTTATCTTAGAGTTATTTTTCTGTCACGGGTGCCCCAGTATTGTTGTTGATATGGCTACTACTGAGGGATTTGAGAACCCTACTGTTGACACCTCTACCGTTGAGACATCTATGGGTACTTCCACTTTTATGTTTGACCAGTATACAGTGTCTACTAGCACAGTTGCATTACCAGCATTACCGGGCATGATCTCTCAAAAAGTTACGGCACAATTGTTGAATGGTCGTAACTTCGCTGAGTGGTCACGCTCATTCCAGCTTTTCTTAGGCCGTGTAGGGACGCTTGGTTGGCTGACGGGATCTCACCCAAAGACAGTTGATGCCGACCCTGGATATTCTGCATGGTTCTCTGAAAACTGTGCCATTCTTGGATGGTTATTTGGCTCAATGGAGCCCTCTGTTTGCAAGATCCACCAGTTTTATAGCTCTGTTCCGAAGCTATGGAGCGCATTATCAGAGATGTATTCTCAGTCAGGACGGGGAGTTCGTGTTTATGAGTTTTCTCAGGAGCTCTCATATGCTCGGCAGGGAGATATGACCGTTCAGGATCCTTAGTCAGGGATAGGCAACGCTCAGACCAGCGCCGTCAGGGCGCCCCAGATCAGCGCAGACGGGGGGATTCCCGTCAATGTGATTATTGTGGCCGACCAGGACATCTCAGGGCTACTTGCTGGAAGCTCCATCCAGAGCTTAAGCCACCTTCTCGCAACATGATCGCCGTCCAGTTGATTGATATGGTTGGACCGCAAAAATTTTATATCCGATCTCTGTTTATGTTTCTTATGGTAATCTGTCTCCCACATTTCGAGCTTATACTATGGCCTTATCAGATACGCTGGTTCCTCGCTCTATTTCGGAAGCTATGCGGGAGCCCCAGTGGGTTCTTGCCATGCAAACAGAGATGGACGCTCTTCAGCGTAATCATACATGGGATCTTGTCTCCTTACCTTCAGGGGTGAAGCCTGTTGGCTGTCGCTGGGTTTACACTCTGAAGTTTCTTGCGGATGGTACTATTGATCGTTACAAGGCTAGACTTGTGGCGAAGGGCTTTACTCAGGTACCAGGTCGTGATTTTGGTGCTACAATTGCCCCCGTGGCAAAATTGACTACTGTTCGGTTAATTATTTCTCTGGCTGCGGAGTACTCTTGACCTCTTCATCAATTAGATGTGAAGAATGCATTTCTTCACGGTGATCTGGACGAGATTATTTATATGGATGCACCACCGGGCTTTCGTGGTGAGGGGGAGTATGCTGGAAAGGTATGTCGATTGTCTGGAAAGGTATGTCGACTGCGTAAGTCTCTTTATGGACTGAAACAGTCGCCACGAGCCTGGTTCTCTCGCTTCAGTGATGTAGTCATACGATTGAGGTTGCCCGTAGAAGCAGAGGTATTGTTCTTTCTCAGAGAAAGTATGTTTTGGATCTTCTTTCAGACACTGGGATGTTGGGGTGCAAACCGGCATTATCACGTATGATTCTAAACCTGAAGCTTACTGCTGAAGGTGAGGAGTTGAAAGATCCGACAGTTTATCAAAGATTGGTAGGTAGATTTATCTACTTAGCCAATACTAGGCCGGACATTTCATTCACAGTCAGCCGAGTTAGTCAGTTCATGCATAGGCCATGTCAGCCTCATCTTGATGCAGTTTATCATATTCTTCGGTACCTCAAGTCTTGTCCTGGACTTGGGTTGTTTTATGCATCAGGATCTCAGACCGGTTCTCTAGCCTGTTATTCAGATTCAGATTATGGGGGAGCATGTGATGATCGATTCTTGACGAGTTGAGTTTTTCAGTGACCTCTCCATCCACATTATATTGTGATAATCAATCTGCTATTCAGCTCGCTTTTGACTCTGTACTACATGAGAGAACGAAGCATATAGAGATCGATGTTCACTTTCTTCGGGAGAAGGTCAGCAGTGGTCTTGTTACTCCATCGTTTGTGGGGACCAGTGATCAAGTTGCGGATATTTTTACCAAACCTGTCACTCTGTCTATTCTTCGGGACTCCGTTGTCAAGCTTGGCTTAGTTGACATTTTTGTGCCTAGCTTGAGGGGGAGTGTTGGAGTATAGATAGTCTAGGTTTATTAGGATTTCTCTTTCCTAGGTTTATTAGGATTTCTTTTCCCTTTTTTACCCTTACTATGATTTTTATATTTTGCCTATATATACGGGGTTTTACTCTTAATTTGAGTATCTCCTTTTACTCACAATTATTTCAAGTAATCTCATTGGGTCGTGGCAGCAATTCCACACCGAGTGTAAGTTGATCTTAAGTTTTCCATTTTTGCACCAAGTCTTGATGACATAAACTGGGGTTTATTTATGTAGTGAATGTGCAGTGAATGATCATGTTCTTTGTCTATGACTTCGGATTTTAACTGCGATCAGGTGTTCGTGACCTTTGTAGTTTTGGGATTGGGAATGATTGTTGAGAAGTGAATGGAATTTTTTTTTTTGATGAGTAAACCAGTTTTGAGTGTTGCTACACAGTTTATGGTCATGGCAATTGTCATATCAGTGATATTTTTATTTGTGGGCATTGGAGTTTTGGTTGTGATTCATGCTTGTATTGCTGGGAGGGCGTTTAGGAGAGGATTTGGTGGCAGTGATATGGTGGAGAGGGGTGGTTTTGGGAACACAAGCATGTCTCAAGACTATCTAGAGAAGCTTCCTTGC